AAGTAGGTTTTTTTTGTTGTATTGTCATGAAAAGGCGCACTATTTTAGTTGACCAACCATAATACATAAACCAAACAATGTTGACGGCCGGCAATTAACTCAGATCATAGATACAAAATTTTAAAAGGCGCGATGAGCAGCACGGGGTGCGTGATTTAGACCTGTGAAGAATATTCTAGCAGCGTGCCAGCTCGCGTCATCAGGCCCTCAATTTAAACCTCAGCCGGGGCCACCTCCAGCAAGCGAAACAAACCATCTGGCCGTAATTAGCGTTTAAAAAATAATAATAATCTTAGTTAATAAATGAGATTCAACCTATAATCTTTTATTTGTAAGCAACTTTTCACACCATATGCTTGAGATTGTTGGAATTAGTTGAGACGCTCACCCCAAACTCATAAAACCTAAATCATTAAAATTTAATCTGAACAATTCGTTTTATTTTTATTTTTTAAAACTATTACTTTGGTGGATGTAAAATAACAATAATCCCTCAGATATTTTTTTCTAAAAAAATAATTTTTATTTAAAAATAAATAATTAGACATATTAAATTTAGACTGTTCAAGTTTAATTTAGATAGTTTAGATTGGTCGCCAAGTGATGAGCTTTGGGCTAAAACCGGGTCCAATATTGTGCCCGAGCCAGAACCAACAATACCACATTCTGTTATTAGGGTCAGGGATGGGAATTAGCTTGGGAAGGCTTCTAAGCTGTTGCATCCCTCAACAAGCTCGATGGCCATCAAGAATCAGATCCCGCCACCACTTTCCGCAGTCCAGTGCTAGCCAGCGTAAAGCGTGCCGCCATACTTGGTACCGTCTTTTTCTCATTAATTCATCAATTTTAAAACAGAAGTTAAGTGTATGAAACTAGTTTAGGTAACCATATGTAAAATGAAGTGTACACAACAGTGGTAAAAAAATTTTTAAAGCAACCCTAAGGAAAACTAACATAGATAGAAAAAAAATTTTATGCTAGGAAATTACTTTTTAATTTAGCAAAAAATGTTTAAAACAAAATTGATTCCGTTTTTTACCAAACACCCTAGCCCTTTGTACCAATTTTCCGCGACAAGCGTTGGATTGTTTAAAAAAGTAGCCAGTATGAAATAATTAGGTATTTATTATTCCTAGTATTATTCGCAGCGCTGCTGCCTGTTTTTGTCTTATCCATCCTCCTAGTCCCACACAATCTCAGCAGGCAGGCGAGGATTTCTTCCCCTTCTTTCTGCCTCGCAGGTGTCGTCTCTTCAGCCTCTCTTCGCTCATCATCCCACTGCTCTCACTCCTCACCCAAAAATCTGCTCTCAAAATCCCCATGGCCGCATCTATCACATTCTCTCGGCTCCTCTCAACCACCGCCACCGCCGCCACATCTCGGCTCCCTCCCCAAGCATTTTCCTCCGCCCTCTCTTCTAAATTCTCTATTACCCCTTCATCCCTCAGATCCCTCAGATTCAACATCGCCGCCCTATTTCCCTCCCACTCTCTGCTTCTTTCACTGCTAAATCCGCCATTTCCGCCACCATCTCCGTCGGCGACAAGCTCCCCGAAGCCACCTTTTCCTTCCTCGACCCTGCGGGAGAAGTTAAAACCGTCACCGTTTCCGAACTCACCAAGGGCAAGAAGGCCATTTTTTTTGCTGTCCCAGGCGCCTTCACCCCAACCTGTTCGCAGAAGCACGTTCCGGGCTTCGTCGAGAAATCATCCGAGCTCAAATCGAAAGGCGTCGACACGATCGCCTGCATTTCGGTCAACGACGCCTTCGTGATGAAGGCGTGGAAAGAAAACTTGAAGGTCAACGACGAGGTGCTTCTCTTGTCCGACGGCAACGGGACTTTCACCAAGGCGATTGGGTGCGAGCTCGATTTGAGCGATAAGCCTGTTGGACTGGGTGTGCGGTCCAGGCGGTACGCTCTTCTGGCTGAGGATGGTGTTGTGAAGGTCTTGAACTTGGAGGAAGGCGGTGCGTTCACATTCAGTGGTGCAGAGGATATGCTGAAAGTGCTCTAAAATCTAAAACCATGGTGAGCTAGGCCTTGATTAGTTTTTAGCTTTGCGGATTATGGTATTCCAGTATGAGATTACTGTTTGCAGTTGGCTCAGTGAATGAGCCTAAATATGGTGAATAAACAGACCCAGTCTTGGTGTTCTCGCGAATAATAACAGGAAAAGTGTTTTGTTGTGATTTGTGATTTCGTATATATGCTTCATCCACTTACAAAAAGGAGATGAAAAGGAAGGAATATAACAGTTTACGCGCAAATGGTCAAGTGTATGATTTGATAGAAGTGCGTTTATAATTGTGAGGCACTGAATTTATAGTGATCATGTTTAAGTTGTGTGGCAAATTTGTGCAAAATCGAGAATTATTCAAACAAAGCTCTATTATGTCGAAAGCACTTTGAAATCTGTATCAGAACACGGAGACGAATACGTTACATTGATTTCCTTTCCGTTGTGCGTTTCCACTTCCACCGTATTGGTGGCAGCTTTCGGAAAGCGTAATTTCCACAATTCATTATCCGGCATGGAGAACTCATTGTTGTTAGTTATTACACGAATTATGAAAGTGAAGTCTGCTTTTGGCCCTCCTAAAACAAGCACGGCCCCCGCGATTTGCCGATTGCTCAGGAAACTCGTGTGCTTCTTAAAGTGTTTGTAAAATGCTTATAAGCAGTTTTACTCAGGGCAAAACTCTCTTCACATTTTTACTTCCTATTTTGCTATTTATAAGACACTCTAAACAAGCCCTCAATCTCCTTATTATAAACATTCTCCTAAACACCTGAATATAACCGATACTCTTCCACGAGCAGAGGGCCACAGGCCACTTCGAAAATGACAGCACCCAGTAAACGGTTTCTTTTACTAAAATTACGGCATCCACAGGGAAAGTGCAACGTGTAATCGTGTATGGAATTGCAGAGCTCTTTCCGTTCTGTGTGATCCATGCAACTTTGGAAGGAGAACAAAAGCAGCGCGCCTTCCCATTTGTGGTGCTTTCCAAGGTCGGTTCATTGTCCGCATAAAACCGCTCTCTCTCATCTGCGGGCTCCGCAATTCTTATTGGACTGTTTTCTCGCTTCACGGTCTGCCAGCAGATTATTACGTTTTCTATTGGGCCTGATCCTTTGGGCCCCTATTTTGTTCTTAACAAAACAAGACTAGGGTTCTCCTTTCATTAAAATGGGGGGAAGAACCAACGAGAATTGGATTTAACAGAAAGGGTTAGTCCCTCACAACGTGATGAACTAATATTTGAGTCTCTACTAGAAGAGGTATCCACATTTAGTATCCGATAGTGCCTTAAATAGGACTGATAAGAGGATACCTATACTTTAGGGAAAAAAATGAGAGGAAGAAAAAGACAGCTTCGCCCCAAAATGAAAAAGCTTGCCTTGAATTGAATTGAATGGTAATTGCAGGCCGAAAAAGAACTGCCTGGTAGTTAAAGTTTGAATGAGATGAGAAGGCAATGAATAGGTTTTTTTGGGGTAAATAAACCCTTCAAAGTGATCAGTCTCTTAGATTTTTTTTTTTTTTAGCGATATTGAAATTATTGAACTTATGTGATACTCACTCTATTTAAAAATATGTTACTATGTAAGGTTATGTTCACAGTTTACAAAATTATGACCCGATTATTGTAAAGTTTGATGTTAATGGATAAAACTGCCTTTGATTAGTGAATAAAAAGTGGATAATTGAGATTTCGGGCAAAAAAGACAAGTGGACGCTTTAATTACCATTATGGACGGTCACTTGTTAGATTATTGCACGCCCCTCAAGTCTTGTCTGACGGGCTGATCATTAAATGAACTGTTTAGTGTGAGTTTTTTTTTTTTATATAGGCACATGTATTCTCTTATTAAAAATAATTCTGTTCAAAATACTGTTCGATACTAAATATCAGCATCTCTTCTCATAGAAATTTAAACTTTAATTTGTCATGTTATACCATTTAACAACATAAGGATAGTTTACATGGGGATAGTGGACAAAACAGTTCGCAACCTCTGTTTTTCTCTTCCCATCCTTTTTCCTGCTCTTTTTTTTTTTAACCATTAGATTAACATATTTCAACAGTTTAGATTTTATTTTTTTTATAAAATATTTATAAAAAAAATTTAAAAACATATAGTGCACTTTCAAATCATTAGAATTAATTTTTAATATAATTTGTAATTTATTATTTATTTTTATAATTTAATATTTTAATAATAGTTTGAAAAAGATTTAAATCTGAACAGTTAAGATATTAATCTAAAGGTTAAACAAAGAAGAAAAGTGAAGAGGATAAAAAGAGAAGAGGAGAGGTTTCCAACCGTTGGACAAAATAGAAAATGTCACGTCGTTAACAGGTATCATGCCCAAGTGATTGTCGGTGCCTTGCTCTGTGAATTTGGCTCATAACTTTCTTTTCTTTTCTTTTCCTTTTATTTTTTTTACTAAACTTTTCTTTTTAGAGTTAAAGACTAAAAGACTAAAATCTACTACGATTGTTTAAAAAAAAAAATTAAGACTAACACTTCTAATTTCAAAAGATTAAAAATTCACTTTTTGAAGTTAAAAAATTAAATTAAAACATTGTATAAATTAAAAGATCAAATCTATACTTCAGTTCCCCCCTTCCCCTTTTTCCTTATAAACCAGGAAGGGAGGTTGGTCCATAATTGGCAGTAGATGTGAATGAGTTGAAGAGTAGGCTCCAAACATGGATCGCACAGCACAGGGCGGCAGGGGGTGTAGGTAGGAGAAGATGGTGGGTCTAATTTCTAGATATGGACCCAAGAAAAAGCACGATTTTCACTTTAATTCATTGCATGAAACATTTTGGAGAATTCATTTCTATCCTGTTATGATGACGCCTGAGCTCTCTCTCCCTCTCTCTCGTATAATCTCACTCTCTCACTAAATCGGATGGAGGAACTGACAACTATTTAGAATGGTTTGGTGGATTGCATTGATGGGAAAGATAGAGAGATGCTTTGGATATGCTATTTACAAAGATCTCTTAATAAATGCATACACAAGAAGAAGTGGGGACGAACCTTTCAACCCCCAGCTTGTTTACTGAAAGAGAAAATATTTGTATAATCTATTCCCATTTCTTCAAACTGTAAAAACGAATACACTGTAAAGAACCCCAAAAAATAGAAACAAGTAATAATGATGAACAGAGTGCTACAAAATCTACCAAACAATCCATCCAATCAACGATGTTTTGCAGGATCCGACGCCCCAGTGCTTTATGTTCTTCTCTTCTGTATGCTTCATTTGCATGGCAACAAATTTGCCTGTAATTTCCTTATCTTTGCTCACTATTCACAAAGAAAACTATTCTTTTCTTTCAAGCTAGTCAATTACTTTGATTCTTGAAAAGTGATCTCCTTTTTCTTTTCTTTTCTTTTTTTTTTTGCACTAATAATCTATAATTGCCAGAACCTTGATGAAAAACACAATACTATATTACAAAGCATAGAGAATCATTGCACAAAAACTGGAATTGCCGAATGAAGAGAGAAAGAGAGAGTCTTCTAGGAGTTGGGAACGAATGTGCCAACATATCCAAAAGCCAAGATAAAGAAGGCAACTGCTTGCATATAAAGGAAGATGAAGTAGTGATTTTTCCCGAACAACACATCATAGCAACCGCAGAAGAAGAGGTAGAATCCAACTCCGAGTTCCAACAAGTGAATCCTAATGATATTTTGAGACAGAGCACGCATATTGGTAAGTGCTTCTGATTCATAAACCTGTGAATGTTGTGTGATAAAGAAGCCAAAAATATTACCTGTCTCCAATCTTGAATCGAGGTTTCTTGGGTGCTTTAGCTGCAACTTTAGCCTTGAGAGCATCTCCAAGCTTCTCAGTGACAACCCATTCATTCACTCGACTGGCTTCTAGCAAACCAATGATTGTTGCCTTTGTTCGATGCAGAGACATGCAATTCTCAAAAAGAATCCAGAAGACCAGCAAGTGAAGCGACCTTAAAACAGAAAACACGTCCAACAAATATCAATACAAGTACAAGAAACAATGCAGAAGTTGTATTCAAGAACTTGTAGGCGGGAGAAAGAGAAAGGAATAAGGTCGACCTTGGAGTTCCGACAGCATTGAGGAGGGTGATGATGGAAGGGATATATACAGCTCCCCACTTTGGGACAACAACCTCAGGCACCAAAACTGTCGCAGGTAACACAATGCAATAGAACACAAATGTGTTGATGTGGGCTACCACCTTCCGAACGAAGAAGAAGCTGTAAATGACATGTACCTTCTTCCACAAGGATACTTTCTGCACAGCATATACATTTACGAACTCAGAGGGATGAATCTTCTTTGGAAAGAAGAGTATATGCATTATGGTTAATACAGGGGAGGCAAATTCACCTTGTTTCTTAAAATCTCCATAACCATTTTCCTGAAGAGATTTGCTGGCCCACAAGACCACCTGTGCTGTTGGAAACGGTAGGCCTTGAAAGTGCTAGGCAATTCATTCTTGACCTGTTGCAGAGTTGACATCACCGTAAAAACAACAAGATATGAATTTGTGGAAATGATAATATTGAAAAGCATACGAAATTTAGAGGTGGGAGAGAAAGAAACCTGGATTTTGCCCAAGTAGAGGAATTTCCAGCCTTTAAGACTGGCTCGAACAGCAAGGTCCATATCTTCTACAGTGGTCCTATCCTTCCATCCACCAGCCTCATTCAGCGCCGCAATCCTCCATACTCCCGCAGTCCCTGATGTTAATATTTGCTTCTCATTTCGATTTCATCGAAGATTGCAGGAAAAAATAATTGAAGTCTCGATTTCTGGGTTGATATAATACTAATAATATATGTATGTATGCATGCACGGATCGCATTAGTTACCGTTGAAGCCAAAGAAGGCGTAAGTGGAAGACCCCACTTCTTGTTCCACGGTAAAATGGTAATCCAGCGACATTTCTTGCATCCTGGTCATTAAACACTCATCGGAATTCACTACAAACCCCAAAAAAAAAAAAGCCACGTCAGCAACGGAGCAGGTATGAGATTTCCAACGTGCTACTCTACCATTTTTACAATTATTTTTGCGGAAGAGATGGACGAAATAAATTCAGTTGTCGGTTAGTGGAGAGAGACAGTGACTGGGGAATGAGGTCCACCATTAAAAGCTGCACATGCAGCTGCCGGGATGCAGAAAGAAGGGAAGGGAAGGGAAGAAGATGATGAATCATGGAAGAGATGAAGCAGCAGAAAATAGTAGAAACAACAATGATGACATCAACGCCACAATGATTCCAGCAAAGAAGAAGGATCGTGTCAATCACATGAGACAGATATACCCGTTCCTTTGAGATACACCTCCTGTTTTCACGTTAATAATTTAAGGTCATGGACCCCCCTCTGAGCTCACATGTTCTGCTTCAGCACATGTTCTTTACTACTTTTGGACACTGGAAATGGACTTTTATTAGCCCTTCTTACTCATCTCAGCATTCTTTAAACCTACTCAATAGCACACATGTTCCTCACAAATAATCATTACTTTTCTGATCTGTTGAAGGAAAAAATGTTTACTAGATTTATAATATCGATGTGATTGGTTGCTTTGGTCGGAAGAGGGGTGATCTGTGTTAATAATATTAGTCTTAAAAGTATGTTACTACAGTGCCCTCAAACAATTTATATCGGAGGATGTCGGAGAATTTATGTCTCAAAGGATTTCCCTCAACAAGGTTGTAAGTAGTGAAGGATAAGCTGTCAAAGAGGGTTAATTACGAAGCCCATAAGCAGAAAAAACAAGGGTTTCTCTATTTTTCCCTCTTCTTGACTAATCTTGAACACGCTTTCCCAAATAGCCATTCCTTTTTTCTCAAGCCTTTCCGGCTTCTATATTTAACTTTTCTTTTCCCACTAGGATGCGGTCCAACTCTCAACTGACTTTCCCGCTCCAAAAGCTAAACAATTAATTGCCGCTATATTTTGGTGTATCTAATTACTGATATAGGTGGGTGAGTCACTCATTCAACAGCATAAAAGGTAAGAACTATTGTTTGTTATTAACAGCTTATTATTACTATATCATGATTAATGATCCATCAGACTATCAGTTCGATCGTAACTTTTCATGCCAGATTGTACAGAAAAGGTTGCCGTGCCCTCTATGCAGGCCATTGGACGAAAGAAAAGAATCAAGACGATGTGATGCGTTGTGTTCACTAATTTTTGTATAATATTTCCTTGGAGGGTAGTTCAAACTTTATAGAGCGGGCCCCATCTCAACACCAACAAAAGAAAATAAAGCAAAGAAGACGATACGAGATGCATACGTGCCTTAAATCGAAGACAACCAAGGACGATTCTACTGTGATTATTGTAATGTCATGGAACCACCACGTAGGACCTACCTCTCCCCGCCCAGAGAGAATTTCCAAAACAAAAAAAATAACCCACCGACAGTTCTCTAGAGGAAACTGCTTTTAGCACGCTGATCGTCAAAAACAAGATTAATGGGAGAGAAGAGAGCCGCCATTGGACAAGAAAAAGAAAAAACCAACAAAAAAATTAACAGGATTAATGAGAGAAAGTTAATTACCAAATTTCCAGCGAGCCTGAACGAGGGCGAGTTCAGGATTGTGAGCGAGGAAAGGTATGGTGCGCCAGAGGAAATCAGGCTCAGGCTGAAAATCAGCGTCAAAAATGGCAACATAGTCGCAGTGCTTCACGTAGCTATGCTTCATTCCCTCTTTAAGAGCTCCTGCCTTATACCCATTTCTGTTGTCTCTTACCTCGTACTTTATGTTTATCCCTTTGCTTGCCCATCTTTGGCATTCTAGCTCCACCAAAGCCTGCAATTTGTTTGTTCACTCCCCACCATTACTCCTTAATGCCAACTTAAACGCACAGTAATATTATAATCAGTGTGGGGATTTTGCCGTTCACCTTGATTGTCGTGTCTGTGGAATCATCCAGAACTTGTATTATGATTCTGTCCGAAGGCCAAGAAAGCCCACATGCTGCTCCAATCGACAGCTGATAAACCTGCATTTACAAGCAGATCCAACAGAACTCAACCCGAATTCTACGGCTGAGAATTAATAATGCAATTCTGATGAACAGTGTGAACTGGAAGCTCAGGTGGGTAGGTTCTAGTACCTCTCTTTCGTTGTACATTGGGATTTGAACGAGGACCATGGGATAAGCCGAGTTCCCCAACTCGAGGTCGTCTTTTAGCGGCTCCCATTTGTAACGCTTCTCTGGTTTTCGCCCAAACAGCTTCACCAAAGTAATGACAACGCCCATATACACCCTCTCCATGAAAAGCATCAACGACATGACCAAACACAGAAACACAGCCAATCTTAGCATTGGAACCACCAATGGCAATTTGATTTGATCCCAGATGAACCCGAGTTGCACGGTAATGTCATCTCTGGCCCCTTGAAATGCATCTGGAAGAACAGTGGTGGATGAAAGACGATCCATTCTGATCCCTCCTTTTTACAGTAATGGGTCGTCAGAGAGACAGAGGAGACGAAACCCCACTAGAAGGATTTAAAGAAGCAAACTTTTGATAAAGAAGGAGGAATATTTTTGTTAGGTATTTTGCTTCAGGGTCACGCAAATCAATGGAGGCAGGGCTGGAATGTTATTCAGTGAGGCTAAAACCCCAGTGAGCTTGAAGAGAAGTGAGGTGGATCTGGAGCAATGAGGCCCCAGAAGTAATAGCAGAAGCTAAAGGAGACAAGAAAGGAAGTTTGTGTTGCTTGACTCTATCCTCTTCTCTCTCCCAGCGTCCTTCTTCTCTGCTTCTGTAATCAATTCAAAGGAATGCAGAAGCAGACAACATTTGCAGAAGCGGAAGCACAGAATTAAGGAGCTTCGTGATTGTAAATATATAACTAATACCAATAATAAAACAAAAATGTGTATGTGAGAGGGAGGGGGGGAGAGAGAGGGGTCAGAAGAGTATTGTATGGGTGTTGTGCGTCTGTGTTGTGGGGCTTTTTATAATGTGTTTGGCTCTCAATGCTTAGTCACCCGAAAGCTATTAGCAACATACAATTCTGTTTTAGCGCCAAGCAAAAATAAAAATAAAAATAGTGATATAGGCCGGAAAAATAAAAATCCCAAAATTGAAGTGGAATTCCCAATAAAGAATCCATAAAAATAATGATATTAATAACGTTAATAATGATTACATTCTTATTCTTGTTGGTGTATGATTTTTTTTTTATTGGTGTCAGTTTTGGACATGTTATAAAAATAGAGACAGAAAAGTCATAATATTCTGCCCATAGTTTTCTATATAAGAACATAGATACAAGAATTAATATATTATAGAAAAGTAAAATAAATTTTTTTTTTTTGCCAACAAAATGAGTATATAACAATATATAGGTATCCATCTATCTACTGAGATGGTAATTTGCGTCGGAGACACGGTATATCTACAGGTTTTTTCAACAGTAATAAATCACGTGTGGCATGTTCTGATTGGTTGTTGCGGGGGCTCTTTGCTTAGTTGATGTGGGCCCAAGAGGATCGGCCTGTCTGAGGGTAAGCCCCATTTTGTGGTGGTGCATAAATCCGACGGTGACAGATGTTGGTGAGATAGATAAAAAGTGATCTGATGGCTGGTTATTGTTTATTTAAATTACGGTGAATTAAAATTTCCATGGAAATGGGATCTTCCTTTTTCCAGTATCAATGTGAGCAATAGCTCATAGCTGCAACAGCAATAATAATTAAAACAACAAAAAAGGTGTGATTGAAATTCTGGCCTGATGTAATGTGCATAATATGTATAGCTTTAGATTCTGGTAAGGCATGAATTTTTTTTTTTGGGGGGGCTTTCTCTATAATTTAATAATTTAATGTAGACTCTGAGATTATGGTTTAAGGTTTCAATTTTGATTTGTGAGTAAGGTTGAAAAATCCCCCCGGGGAGTGGCAGAACAAAGCGTAGGCCTGTTTTCATTAAAAATAAAACTCTTTAAAAAAAAGAAAAAAATCTATTTAAATAAAAACATTTGTTCCTAAATATAAGAACTAGTTAAAATTTTAATTTAATTTTAAATATAAAATTATAATCTATTTTATTTTTTAAGTTTATTTTTTTACCTCGTTATGATAATTGCATGTGTTAGAAGGTTTTTATTTTAATTATCACAAATAATTAACTCAATTATTCTTCTTAATATTTATAAATTAATTATATAACTTTTATATTAATAAGTGGTGGTAGGATACTCAAACCCCAAGTTACGTCGAATTTAATGTGGTTTATTGGAGGATGACAATTAAGAACTTTATAAGGAAATTAATATGAATCGAGGACCTGATTATCATTAAAATTTTTAACTCGAAATTCTGTAAATTGCAACTTGAAGGTTCTTGGTTCCGCCTAGCAGCAGCACATGCACGGTGTGTTTGGATATCCAATGATAAATCCAAACAAGCACTAGAAGTAACGTTTCATTTATTTTCAATAATAATAATTGTTAGTTAATCAATATATCATCAATAAATATGAGAAAGTAAAATGAAAATCATATTATATACAAATCATTAGCGACAAAACTTGTCTCAAATTTTATCAAATTTTTTTTTCAAATGAAAAATGAAAAGACCGCATAATCCCGCGGCAATGACTTGGATGTTTGGAGATGAAAAAGAAATAAGTATATATGGTCGGAAACCAAGGAGACTGTAGATGCCGACAATGTCCATGACCATTTGACCATCCAATCGTCAAATACATTGACCGATTTGCCCTTGCTGGTCTCCGCCTCCGTGACAGCTAAGATGCTTCCCCTACCCACCCCCCTCCCCAAAAGAAAAAGAGTTTTCTTCCAACATTGATTGAAATAAGAAATTGAGAAAATCACGCTTAAATGCCGAAAGATTAATTTGATAATAGTTCAATCCTAAAAGCCCTGTTTCAAGATCAATTACAAATACGATAATACTTTTTTAAATCTATTTATAAATTATTTTCAGTATGTTTCATATAGATAAAAAAAAATCTTAAATTTTATTAACTCTCATTTAAAATTCAGTAACTTTTTAATTTTATCCTTATTTAATATATATTACATCTCCTATAAACAAAGTAAACACAACAATAAATGAAAGGTAAAATTGTATATCTATACAAAAAAATTTTTTTAGTGCCCTATAAATAGAAAAAAATATCTTCTCTCTCTGTCTTATAAATAAAATCAGAGAACTATCAATTACATATAAACTTTCTAATTTATACATCCAAGTATTAAATTTCAAAGAAAATATGGTTGCCAACCCCAGAAATATGGGGTGACCATAACAACAGCAGTAATTTTAAAAAAAAAAATTAAGGGCTGACAAGGAGCAATTCTCAACGAACTAGTATAATAAATTAATTGAAATCTCTGGTGCAGTCATTAACGCTAAACAAAATGAGTTATGGAAGGTCTATACGGAGGGGGCCGCCATACTGCGTCTTCCAAGTTGGTGAGCAATTATAAAATACTCGTATAAATTAAAGTGGTTAGCGAATTGCGATCCTTTAATTATTATTTATTAATTTAAATAAAAAAATGTTATGGATTGTCAACATATTTATCAACCACCCCCTTAGAGGGATTATGGCCCTCGTGATCCTCTACCTCACTGCCAAGAAGCTTCAGGTTCCAATCACAATATATATATTCACCTTGAATAATTTAAATAAAATAATTCTTCCCTTATTTTCGGCATGGTATTGTTTTTGTAGTTATTTATATAATATTACTATTAACTATATTATAAACTGTCAGGGCGCGCGAGTAATCATTTGGTTAACATATGATTGATTTTAGTGTTTTTAAGGTATTTCGAGAATTTCGAATATATTATATCCGAATATTCGCACATCCACGTGTTCCAACTATCGTGGGTAGTTGCCATTTTTCTTTGGTGTGAAAACAAATTTGCAATCTTTTTAGTTTTATTAAATATTTTTTGGCTCGCTATTTTCTTTTGCAATAATTCATTGAATGGTACAAGATGTTTGACTAATCCTATGCAGCTTCTTGATGACTTTCTTCTGGCTCTTGTGCCGACTTTGTGAACATAAATCTTGTTTCCTTATAACTTCCCAAGGCTAATTTCCCACTGTCGTTTATAAGCATATTTTTTAATATGAATAAGTTAAATTAAATTTGACAGAAGAAGCTCATATATTTCAGATAAGACCCTGCTTGACACAAATCTAAATTAACTGGCAATGCTAACTATCAAATAATATATCATCCCAGAAAAAATATAAATGCGAGACATTAGGTGGGTGATAAAAATGAAGGAGTCAAAAGATAAAAACCCAGACACAGTTTTTTTTTTTTTTTTGCCATCTCAGACAAAGTTAAATTAAATGTTAAATGATCCGGCTAAGAGAAGAGTTAAATGATCAAAACAATATTTCCTGCCATCTTTTTTCCTCCTCCCAACAACGGAATGAGAGAGGGAGCAGAGCCAAGATTTTGCCAAATATTCCAAGCTTTTTTTTCAGGAAAAAAAAAACTGAAATACATTTGGTTTCTCTCACCGGGATCACATTAATTAATTAATTAAAACGGCCAGGGCCAGAAACTTCAAGCTGTCTCATTTGGTCCTCCACTGGATGTGGGCCATGCATTTCCCATAGACTATAATATATGGACGGTATTATTTGATTGCCCGCGATTTAATATGTTTTATATGTCATGTTAATATTATACTACCTTCTATCCTGATTATAAGAGCTAGTTAATTAATTTAAAGAGATTAAAAAAATAAGTTAAGTTAGTTATTTGTAATAAATAGATGTTTTCTTTTCTGAAATATCTTTGTTAATCAAGTGTGTTGGCTAGAACTATCATTATTAAAAGGACCACCTTAAGAAAAAATGTATAAATATTATAGATAAAATAGATTGAGGTCTTATATTTAGAATTAAAATAAAAATTAAACAAAATTTTGTATTAAGAACTGGAGCTAGTATAATAATTTATAATCCATATAAGTATTCCACACACCAACCACCCTCCGTCATGATACTAAAGCGTGCTCATGGTCCTTGTTTTGTCCTTCTTCTTCTATCTAATTGTCAAACAGTAGTTAATTATGTAGAAAATACACAAAGACGAACACACTCTTCGCTAACAATACAGTACAACCTCCAATTCTATTTATAAGAACTAGTTGACTAAATTGAGAAGATTGAAGAAATAAGTTAAGTTAGTTATTTGTAATAAATAGGTGTTGTATTTTCTAAAATATCCTTGTTAATCAAGTGTATTGGTTCGAACTATTACTATTAGAAGGACTACCTCAGAAGAAAATGTATAAATATGAGAGATAAAATAGATTGGGATTTTATATTTAAGATAAAAAAAAATCAAATAAGATCTTATATTAAGAATCGTAAGTAGTAGTTTACCAAGTTCATATCCTAATTTAAATAAGCAACCATTTTTCGTTAAAAAAAAATCATACATTCAAATCCCCTCCCCCCCCCCCCAAAAAAAAGGCAGTTTAACATTATCAACTCTCGGGCCCAAAAAAATTGGTACTGGCAAAAATAAAAGAACAAAACCGCATTATGACCCGAATCTGATCCTTTTAAAGTCTAAAAGTAAAAGAAAGTGTATGTTGTTGTGTTCGCTGAACCACTAAAAAATAATGAGCTTTGCTTTAAAAGGTTAATTATGATGGCCGTTGTCCCGAACATTAAATACACGCGCGCGCGAGCACCGCCTTCAAAAAAACTACTCAGTTATGGTGACTGGTGAGCTAGCCTAAAGTACAGAAGAATGCAGATTAAGATCAGCTCAATTAATGTGGCTTTTAGAAATCAATTGTTATTGAGACAGAGAGTGTTCAATTCCATATTACTCCCTCCGTTCCTTATTATAAG